GCTCCAAAGTTTCACCCCAGCCATGGTTATCAACTCGAAACTAATCCGAAGCAACTGTCGATGAAATTTGTATGTCTACAAGAGTACAAGTAATTGTTTTTGAATGTAAGCTTTGGAGCGCATTTATATGGAGTTTTACCAAAGTTTGATGCAGGGTAGTTGATCAAACAAGCTGCAAAATAGTTTATCAGCCTGTTGTCAACTTCTAAGGACTTGCTTTGGCCATACGTAAATGGCGACCGAGATTATATTATCTATGGTCAAATGCATAAAGGTACTGATTAAATATTTCCCTTTGATCATTTTATATCAGTGAAACCAATTGAGAATGTTGTGGGTGAGGTGTAGCTTTGGTGATTGGTAATGATTCAACAAATCCAAATATGGATTAATGAAAAAAAATGTTATGCACAAATCAATTGGCTGCCCTGGGCATATTCGTTTGAGCAATTTAAACACCCAAACTTGTCATCAACAACGGATTCAGAAATATTTTTAGTTTGATCACGTATGTTAATAATATAAATTTTTATACATAATAGACAAATAAAATTTTAAGTGGCACAGTCATCAAAACAAAAATTTAATATGAGAAAATTTAAAATTTTAAAAAAACATTTATTTATCCTAAATTTACCGTAGATCCGACACTGTCCTTAACTGCGATCAACAACTTCTATAGAAGTTCATGATTTAACTAAATCATGACTTTCATTATAATCATTAAAGGTGCATTATTTTTTATAATAAGAATCAGAGGCGAAAAGAGAAAACACATCATGCAATATGCAGTTCACCTACTTCTTCCTTCCCAGTGCATTAATCGACAGACCTTGCTTATGTTGCATACTATAGTATAAAATATTTATATAAACACTTTATTGATATATAATAAATTGTTATAAACTTTAATTCTTTGATATGCGGTGTTCAGGCAAAGAACACTATTTTATTCCTAACTAATATGGTATTCCGGGTTTAATTTTGAACGGTTTTTCTTTTTATCTTTTTGTAATATATCTTTAAAAAAATCATTAAGGTTTATAAAAAGTTTAAATAGCCCGATGGCTCCCGTCTTATCCTTGTCTTTTTTCCTATCACCTTATTAGACACTTATAAACCTCGTATTTTCGTATGAAACATTAATGCACGGCTTTTACTTTCCTACCTATTCAAAAAAAAAAAAGTTTAAATACCTTATAGTGCGTTTGGTTCACGGAATGTAAGATTATCGGTGAGAATAAAATATTATCAGGGAATAGGATTACTGGGAATGTTGTATTTTGTGTTTGTTTGGTTTAGCAGTAATGTAAGATTACCGTGTTTGGTTAAAGGAATAAAAGATTATTGGAATATATATTTGATCAAATTGTCCTTATTATATATTTGTTTTTTAACAAGTTGGAAAATATTTATATATTTTCTTTAAAAAATTAAATTCATAAAATTTATATAATTTTTTTACAAAATTGAAAATATAAAAAGGTTTAATGAAAGGGTAAAATTTTATTTTAACCACTGAACTTTATAATAAATTTTAATTATAGACTTTTTTATGTAAATCTAAAATAGTTTAAAGATAAATTTGTAATTTAACGTTCGTAGAATTTTTATTATTCAATGACATAATAAGGATATTTTTTAAAGAAAAAAATTTTAAGGGCATTTTAGTCCAAAACGCCGGTAATCCAACAATACCTAAGGAATTGCTAAGGAATGGGAGGTAATGACATTCCCGTTAATATACCCCAAAAAAATACTATTGGTAATGTAAGATTACCGGGAATGACATTCCCAGCCAACCAAACGGGAGAATGTGGATTCTATTCCCATGAGAATACACCCTTAATCCTCAATCCCTTACTAGTGTTTATTTTGTGTTTAAATACTCTTTGATTATTTATTATTATTGTTGATTTAGACATTTTTACATGATTTCTGTGTAGGAAAATGATTTCTAGAAAATGTTCTTAAAAGGATTGAAAGCTGCATTTTTGTTCTAGAATCAAAACTGGAACAGTGGGCGTGAAAAGGCTGACGTGGCAGTTCGTCATCAACTTCTATAAGGTCCAGTCAACAGCTTCCAAAAGATCCAATCAGCGATTCTAGAAGGAAGATGAACATATGAAACATTTAAAGTTCAAGTTTTTAGAATTATCTTTTTATTTTTTAGGATTTAATTTTAAGAAACTATCTTTTAGGATTTTTTAATGTAATTTTAGGGTTTTTCAGTGACTATAAATACCCATCGGGGTAAGCTTGAAAAATCATCTCTTGTCCATCGATCCATTTCTCATATTTTGTTCTTTTCTTTAGTTTTATAAAATACTCTCTTTTTACTTTCGCTCTTTATTTTTCTTTTTAAGCTTTTTTTTACTTTTAAAATGCTAAGTCTGGTTTTTATCATGTTTAGCTAAGTTTTTCGTAGTCAAAGGCTGAAGCGATGACTCAATTCCTATCGAAACACCTCATACCCTTCCGGTTAAATTTTTTAGTTTTCTGAAAACTAGATTGGTGGATCATCTTTCTTAAAATCAAGACACATTCACTTCAAAAATAGATTTTGACTTGGATGTTGTTAAGATTTATGATTGGGATTATATAATCAATTGATTCGAATTTCCTATAATACACTTAGCTATAGAACGCTAAGGGGAGATTGAGTTCATCTTCTATAGAGGAATCATAATTTGAGTCGGGAATTTTCTAAAAGCGCTTTGGATTGTTTTGAGTTAACTTCGATTGTCATGGTTAATCCGAACAAAGATTGAGGACTCCAAAATAGATTTGGAGAAAATCAATAACTTAAGGAAAATTGAGCTACAAGGATTGAACCTTGCAGACTCACACCGACATTTAACCGAAGTAAAATACTATTCAATGATTGATTGGAATTCGAGGCAAAGCGGAAGCCCGAGGCTGATTTTTACAAATATACTTTATTTCAAATTTACTATTTTTAATTTTTACTTTTAATTACTCTTGAAACTACAACCCCTTTATTTTTCATCACAATAGTCCTGAAACAAGATCAATTCATCGGCAATTTCTATATTCCCTTATCTCTCTATTCTATTTATTTCTATTTTATTATTATTGAGATTAAGGCATATTTATTTGAAACTGAAATGTTGCGTTGTCAAATTGATGTTGTTGTCGGGGAATACAACAAATTACTAATATTTTGTTTTTATTTTTTCATGACCAAGCAAAATTCGGGCACTTTGGAAGAATTTAATCTATAAATTGAAGCACGAGCTAGGCGAATCCACGGATAAATGCTTCGAGAGAGATAAAAAAGAAGACAAAAAGAACAATCAAATCTCGAAGGATCAATCGAAATTGATGCCACACTAGAAGAATCGTCGTATTCCGTTGAAGTATCATCACACGACGAGTCACATTTTACAATACACGAAGTTGAAGCCGACACACAAACGTCAGAACCAATGGACGAATGCACCATTCACGAGTTAGCCGCAACAGTCGTGAGTTAGCCGCAACAGTCGTGGTTCAACTTTGTTTCAACTGAAAACATTCTCATTCATCTCCTTCCCACCTTCAACGGTCTTCCTAGTGAAAGCCCGCACAAACATTTGGCATAATTTCATTTGGTCTGTTCAAGCATGAAACTACATGGAGTTTCTGATGACCAAATTAAATTAAGAGCTTTCCTTTTTTTTTTCTTTATCTGGCATTGCTAAAGAATGGTTATTTTATTTATCTTTGAATTCAGTTTATACTTGGAATGATTTAACACAAATTTTACTTGAAATGTTTTTTTCCAACAGCAAAGGCGAGCGAACTACAAATGAGCATCCTAGGGATTAAACAAAAAAATGGTGAATTGCTTTACGATTTCTGGGAGCGATTCAAAAAGCTTTGTGGAAGTTGTCTGTAACACGGATTAACTGAGTAAACGCTTCTCCAATACTTCAACGAATGACTGCTCCCATTAGAACTGAAGATGATCGACACTGCCAGTGGAGGAGACTCGTCAACATGACCTCGTAGGCAACACGAGATTTAATTTCAACAATGACAACCAACTCTCAACAGTTTGGCGCAACATGTGAATCAAACTGACGGGTTCACAAGGTAAGTACAATAGATTATAGACCCTCCTCAGTGGTACTCATTTTGGGACCATTTTCAATCCCCCAAAGTATTGGGTCTCACCCTTTCATTTTAACCATATAGTGTACGAACCAAAAAATGGTGGGACAGTACAATAACTGCATAGGCATTGCTCTGATGCCAGGAGTACATACACATTTCTCCATTTCAACTCATTATGGCTCAGATCACATGCATGTCTTCAATAGTTGATCCGTATCTGCTAACTGCTCCTGTTAAGCGGTTGTTTTCTGTACTACATGAGGTAATGAAAATTTCTCTAATATTTAAGAGTATAATGAAAATAATTTATCTAATTTTATACTAATGTCATTTTTTATATTTATTCATGTTCTAATTATAAAGGGTTGGACTTAATTTTCTTTATTAAATATTTAAAGCAAAAACCCTTCATCCGAACCTCAGGTCTTGAATTTTTGGGGAAAAGAATAACGGAATCCGAATGTTGGGCTTAGCTGCGCATACATGGACTTAGCCCAATGACTATTCTAAACGAAATTGTCAACGTTGGAGGGTAAAATTGAACCAACAAAACAAACCCTAAACCTTAAAATGCATTCGGCCTATAAAACGAAGCCAGCCGCTCTGTATTCGTCACTGGGTTGATTCTAATCTCTCAAAGAGATGCAAACTAATGTTCGTTTTTTCTCTTCTTTTATGTCCTTCTTGAAGTCTAAATGGTTTTCTTTGTTTCATCAGTTATGGGTTTCTTAGTGATGATTGAAAACGATGACGAGTCCGATATTTTCCATTCTATCAAATCGTGACGACAATTCGAGGCATTTGTCTGAAAGAAATCCATCTTTTCTTTTGTTTGATTTCTATTTTGATTTCAAGTCACAGTTTTTTCCTTCTGGAGCCTTAAGGCATAATGAGGATGAATTTATGATACATTATCTGATCATTCTGATGATCTATAACCTCCTACTCATTCTGAATGCCTGAAAACCCAGAGTTTTCTGTTATATTCTTCTTTTATTTTGACGATAAAGCTTGTTCTTTGATTTTAGCATTGTAATTATACTAAGAAACAGTGATTGTTGCGTATGCCTGTAGGGTTAACGAGGAATAACCATTTGTTGCAACTTATTTCAACATTTTCGAACTAATATTAACAAATTAGTTACCGCTTCAAAACAATTCTGATATCAATTAACCCATAAGATATAATTTTTTGCTGAACTTTTGTGTATTTTAGATTGAGAATGGTGATGATTAAATCTGACATAGAAATCATTATAAGAACATTTGTTGTGAAATTAAACAAGCAGGCCTATTAGCTCAGTTTGTTGCAACGCGAAGATCGCAGGGTTTTAGATCTGCATTGGCCATTCAGCATTCTTTTCCTAATATTAAAGATCTCAGTATGGGCAAAACTGGCCCATTAAGCCCCTTAAATCAATTTGGATTATAATTTGAGATCTATAGCAAATGTTACATGCAGGGTAAATGTGTTATTTGAACAAATTCATGACAAATTTGTAATTGTATTATTAGAATTTGTTATACGTGCTGATAAGTTTTAATAAAAATATATTTTATTTAAACTTATTATATCGATGTGATAAGTTCTAAATCATTATAATAATTATCGTAGATTTCAGATTAATTTTAAAGGTAACCTAATGGGTCAATTTTTTAACCTCCTACTTTATTAGTCCTATTTTGCCTCTCAATTTTGAAGGTAGTCTAATGGGTCAACTTTGTTACGTCTATTTGGGCTTTGTAGACTACCTTTTGAGTCTCATATATCTTCACTCGTTATGTCTGCATGGTTTGTTTTAATTTCAACGATGATGTCAGAGTATGATCTAAACCGGTACATCCATCCATGATGGATCGAGGTAAGTGGCTGGAACCATCCTCCTTAAAATTTTGAAATTATTATATATTTTATATTAAAAATATATTTTCTTTCTTTGATTTTATGAATTCAGGTTATCTCTCTCTAAATTAAATTTATCTTTCTAACGTAAAATCTTATTTGTCCCTTATTACGTCAAGATCAAGCACTACAGGAGTTTCAAAGAGATGTAGCTGAACTTGTTTGTTGTACTCCAGCAAGAATCATTGAGATCAAAACAAAATCTAGAGTTACTCCAACACCACATAAACTTGTACTCATCTTTGATCAATTTCAAAGATTTTCAAAGGCCTAGTCTGTTATCTAAAATTTATTATTTTATTAGATGATGAATGACCCAAACCGACTCGTAGTATTAGAAACTTGTCCAAACTTTTATTTTGGACAGAATTAGGTCAAAGATGCTAAAGACAACTAAAAACCTGATCCAAAATGTTCCTAATTACCTTATCAAGCTCAAATTTATTGTTATCCGCACAATCTTAAGTTCGGATTTGACGTGATATCAACCAAAAACCTGAATCTATAACATAAAACAAAACTTTCCTTGTTGGTGTATTATTTAATTGCTTTTATAATCGATTCTCTTCTTTTTTTTTTAAAAAATATATAACCCCTTATGTATGCAATGAACCCATTCATGAGTTCATTATGCTTTTTCAGTTTTAAATAAATACTCAATAATAAGGAGGGACCATCACGGGTGAGAGGGTCTTGCTTTTCAAAATTTTAGAATATTTTATTTAATATTTTAGAATCTTTTTAAGAGCTTTAAAATTTCTTATTATATTTTGAAAACTTTGAATATTTGAAATTTATAAAAGTTTTTTAAAGTTTAATTTTTAAAAAAAATTATAATTTAGACATTAATTTTTTTTTAAATATTTTTTAAAAATTTATTTGTCATGATCATCGTCACCAATAATTTGATTTGCTAGTAAGGGAGAAATTGATGTTGAAACATGAACATTTTGACCATAGAAGATCAGTCCCCCAAGAGGACCTACCAAATGTGCATGACAACCTTATATTTACCTATAAAAAAAAAGCGTTTTTGGACAAGGAAGGAACTTTCATGGCAATGCCGATGGATACCTTTTCTTATAATCCCATATGCCTATATGATTGAACCAAAGATACTAAATCCCATTCAAAAAATTCTACAAGATTTAGTTGAATTTAAATTCATATATTTGGTTATAACTAGGGGGAAAATGTGCAGTTTCGGAGCTTACAATTATGGATGTAATGTGTTTATGTCGGTTGGTGGGGTTTAATCTCTGTTTGCCAACTGAATTGCTTATATAATCCCATGTATTAAGCAAGAAAACATCTATACGAGAATGTTAAAAATCAAATCCTTGTCGTCTTTTGAACGGCTTTCTGTGGACATTATTTTTATTTGTGGAAACTTCAAATGTATTTTCTCAAAAATAATTTTGCATTATTATGACTTTGGATGTAATATAATAATCTTATATATGATTATTTTTTTAATAATCTGAATTCCGTAGTGATTAATAATAATAATAATAATAATAATAATGTGTAAAATAATAATTGATTTTCATCAAATATTTAGGCCAATTAATTAAAAAATGTTAGAATTAATTTGCTTTTAAAGTTTAAAAAGATTATAAAGAGGGGAAATTAATAAAGGGATAAGGGAACTCAATGAAGGTTTCATATGAAGGACAACACAATGACATACGTCCTCGTTCCTCAATTATTAAGTAGAGAAAATAATTTCAGTGACCAAAAATGCCTTATAATATACGATTTTAATCAATTTTTTTTGGATTTGCCAAAATAACCAACAAAATCTCAATGCGATCGATAATTCGCAACGCGATCTCCGGTATCGCAAATCAGTTTCCAGATTCGCAACGCGAACTTCGACTATCGCATTGCGATAGTCCAAGTTCGCGTTGCGATTTACATATTCGCATTGCGATAGTCCAAGTTCGCATTGCGATTTATTCTAAGATCGTTGCGATAGTCGAAGTTCGCGTTGCGATTTATTCCAAATTCGTTGCGATAGTCCAAAATCGCAACGACGGTATTGCATTTGTTTCTTAAGAATTTTCTCTAAAAAGATAGTATTCGCGCGGACGTGTCGAAGACACGTACTACCACTACCACGACCACGACCACGACCACGACCACGACCACGACCACGACCACGACCACGACCACGACCACGACCCGAGACGAGACGAGACGGCGGCGGCGGCGCGCGAGAGTCTCCCTTGTTCTCTATCACTCAACAAGGAAGTGGGAAAGCCAAGCCTTAAATACCATTCACAATAGTGTTTCCAATACTATGTGGGATTGAGCCTTAAATAGTGATATTATTTTTTAATGTTTTGCTTAAAATTGCAATAATCGCGATTGATTGTAGATTGACTTTTAATTATGACATATTTAATCGTATAATACTAATGCAATTGGTTGTTGATTCAGTTGTTTTAAGGTGCATGATTGTTAATTGTTTCCTGAATAATCACATTGTATTGGAAACAAGTGTTGGTAATGCTCAATCCCACATAGTATTGGAAACACTATTGGGAATGGTATTTAAGGCTTGGCTTTCCCACTTCCTTGTTGAGTGATAGAGAACAAGGGGGACTCTCGCGCGCCGCCGCCGTCATTCTCGTCTCGTGGTCGTGGTCATACGTGTCTTCGACACGTCCGCGCGAATATTATCTTTTCAGAGAAAATTCTTAAGAAACAAATGCAATACCACCAGTCGTTACGATTTTGGACTATCGCAACGAATTTGAAATAAATCGCAATGCGATTGTCGACTATCGCAATGCGAATATGTAAATCGCATTGCGATAGTCCAAGTTCGCATTGCGATAGTCCAAGTTCGCATTGCGATAGTCGACTATCGCATTGCGATTTACATATTCGCATTGCGATAGTCCAAGTTCGATTGCGATAGTCGAAGTTCGCGTTGCGAATCTGGAAACTGATTTGCGATACCGGAGATCGCGTTGCGAATTATCGATCGCATTGCGATTTAGTTGGTCATTTTTGGCAAATCCAAAAAAAAATGGTTAAAATCGTATATTATAAGACATTTTTGGTCAATGAGGTTATTTTCTCTATTAAGTATTAACCTTTATTCTATAATTAGATCAAGATCTTCCTAATCTCAACTTTAGATTACATATCTGCCACACAACAAATTTAAAATAAACAAATAAAACTATATGTTCTTTTAGTACATTTAGTATGGATTAGCTTCCCCCGTTTTATAATATGAATTCTAGATCTTATAATAAAGATTTAAACTTTGAGATTATTTTGTTTGATATAAATTTTTTGTATAATATTATTTCACCCATAGATTAAAAAACAAAATGTGTTAAATATTGTAACAATTTTTACACTTTATAATACATTATAATATCGATGGAACTGCTGTGTCATTTTATAATTATATTATATTGTATTTATTATATTATATAGTATATCGAAAGAATAGTATCAATTGAAGCGCCTAATCATATATATAATATGTATTAAAGAGTTACAAACAACAATAGGAACGTGTCTAGAATCATCTATCACATAGCTTGAATTTTTCTCATGTGTCATTTAATAAGTATAACTTACTTGATTTACGTATAATAATTAAAAACAATATCCAATGCTAAATTAATAATATATATTTTATTAATTATCTTGAAAATATTTATAACATAAATATTGATTTAATGTCAAAACTTAAATAAAGTATAATTTAACTATGAAACATAAAATAGAAAATCCAATAATCAATATATATTTGAATGCAGTTAAATCTTGTGACTGTTTTATAAATATATATTTTAATGCACTTAAATAAAGTATATTATTTTGTGACTGTTTTATAAATTTAATTATTATTTATAATTTTTAAAAAATAAATAATTGAAATAACTATTTGAATGCAGTTAAATCTTAAAACAAAAATATAGAAGAGTGGACAGCGGCAAACATGGAAATGGAAGACAGTAGACGGTGAAAGGGGCACCTTTGGAGTTAGTTGACCTAAATCAGAACAACATCAACAACAGATCAAA